TTAAGTTTCGAGAAATGACAGAAGGATATTAAGTCTAGACGTCTTTGTATTTGCCGCTAGGATTTTAGCAGTCATACTATTAAAAGTTAAGTACAAAGGATTAACTTTATCAAAAATGCTGCAGACTAATGTCGCGGCATGATTTCAAACAGTGGCTTCCGAATRATGGACTACTTCGACGATACGACAGCATTTTGATAGTGGGGGAGGTGGGTGGGGGTCAATCGTCAAAAAAGCTCTCATGCTGATGTATTGAGTTCAAGTTATTTGTTCATCCAAGGACGTTTTTGTAAAACATTGTAGGCTTTAACCTTTTGTAGATTTAAAAACGTTTACCAAATAAACTTCAAGATGCCTCGTTAAAATTTAAAATTATAGTTTTAGTTGCATTATATTGACAGTGATTTCAAGATTATTCAAGTTGTTATTTACGAATAAACCATCAATTATACTTGTCTTGAACTAATCCGGGTTAAGCCTCACATACAGTAGTGTTAAAAACTCATTGTGATGAATATTGGCTGTGTAGCTTCGTCACTTTATCAAAAGAAAARAAAAAGCTAAAATAAGTACAATGCAATTATATAAATTGAAGTGTTAAGCTATATCAAACTTTAAAAATCTTGGGTGTTGCCGATCATTCCAAGTCCAAATCCAATGAAAGTTTACTTGGAGCGTCAATATCAGGACTTCAATGCATACGTCCAATCATAAAAGCGCATTTATACAGTGTAATAAGAAAAAATGCTTTTCTTATTTACTGAGGTGCACATGTATCAAATTTCGCTTCCTCTGCAGGCGTTTCTCTTCCTTTCTGCTCTAATTCCTACTTTTGGATTATATTTCTTCCTAAATATGACTTAAGAAGACTGAACCTGCAGAAGATTAAGAGAAAGAGGAACCCTTCACTTCTTGGATTGGCTCAAGGCTTACCATTCGACCAAGAATTCGTGATGTAAAAAGCTCTCCGTAAAACGGAATAGTGTGTAAAACATGAGTCTTTCAGGAAAGGTCCCAGAATGACAGCTGATGAAAACAACAACAATTCAAACAACATCAACAAGCACGTCAACAAATAAAAAGATAAATAGAGACAAGGGTTCTTGAATGTTCGATATTATTTCTTATTTCCAATACATTAATAATTGAAAGAGATTACATTGCATAACTCGAATTTAAAACTTATATTTAAAGGAGTTACAATATTCAAATAATTTAGTTGTATTCAATTCTACACATTTGTAAAGTTCTTAGCTTGAAGCAAGCTTTAATCTTTTGCTATAACGATATGTATTCGGCTCGACATCGGTAGGGTCTTCATCAGTTGACGACTGTTGAGCGAGTACTTCCGAACGTTTCCGACGTTTCAGTCGCTCTCTCAAGTGAGMGCAAATATCGCTCGGCGTACTGTCGGTAGTGTCTTCATCAGTTGACGACTGTTGAGCGAGTACTTCCGAACGTTTCCGACGTTTAAGTCGCTCGCTCAAGTGAGCGCAAATGTCGCTCGGCGTACTGTCGGACCAATCTTCGATAAATCCGGAGCTTGGTGATGGAGATTGATTAATAGGTGACAAAATCGGAGATTCTTGCAGGATTTGAAGACTTTTCTTGGAAATGGGGGTTATAGGTTTAAATGTTCTTACTTTTTCTCGCCGAAAAGACGACGAGTCTTGAAAAACACCATCGTCAAGAGTTTCTTCATTAGTTTTYTCGCGTTTGGCGTTGTTGTCTGATTCTGTAATGTTACAAAACCAATTCATAACCATATCTTCTGATGACTGGGAACACTCATCCACATCAACTGTGTTTGCYGGGAAGAATGGGTCTTTATGTTCAGACTGTATTTCGTGTCGGTCACTACTCCTTTCAATGTTTTGTCTTTTAGAGGGCGGGGATTTGAACGATCCTGGTCGAGTCCTCTTACGCTGTTTGAGGATTTGATTCAATGGACTTGATCTTTTATTCTCGTTTCGAGACTGAGCGCGTGTTTTTCGTTTCTTTCTGGGTGGAGTTGCAATGACGGGCTTCGATGAAAGAAGCCTTTGTCCATCGACAACGTAACTGCACTGTTTCATTGTAGTTTTCKTTGTGATTTGTGCACAAGACGCCGACGGTCCCAGAGACTTATCATCCCTAGTGACAATTTTGTCTTGAATTTCACAATTTTCCKTTGTAAATCGAGTGTTTTGTTGTTTCGACTTTCTCGTGGGACTAGAGGAAAGTCGTTTATGTGTCACACCAGATTTACTGGTATCGTAGCCGTCTGAATGACAGCGCAACATTTTATGACCTAGAAAACAACAGAACAAACACGAATTAGTGCACAGAAGAAAAGTTAAATGAAAAAATATAATATAGAATACCTGAATTAGCAGCGGAAGATGATGGTATATCCTTGATGCTATCCAGACTGCGCGTTGCGCGACGCTTTTTCTGGTTTGATCGTAACACTCGGCTTGTGCTCGTTTCATCTAATTCTTCAGTCGAATTCCTTATCCTCAAACGATTTCTCAATTTCTCTTTGCTTTTAGAGTGGGATAATTGTCTAGTTTGTGCATTAACAGAGAGCTCTTCAGAGCCACTTATATCCAAATTTGAACCTTCTACTTCTTTGCCATCAGTATTTTGATGTCTTTCCTCGATTAAGGAGTGATTGCCATCTATAGCATCAAAATCGTCTWCAAATTGGCTACCTCCTTCAGATGGAACGACCTCATTGCTTGAAACATCGGACAAAACCAAAGGTTTCATGATTTGTTTCTTAAAAGTTGGACTTGAATGAGGTTGGGTTGTAGACGCCGGCCTTGTGGGTGAACTTGTACCACAAGGAAGTGGTGGTGAGGACAATTCTCCTATACGYCCTTTTGGTAATGAAATCACTAAGCTCCCTTGAGGAAATGATTCTAAGAAACCRTCTTCCCTGGATTTCTTGAACCTCGGGGAAGACCGAGTTGTAGTGAGTAACACYTTCTTTTCTGGAGTAATCACCTCGGTAATATCTCCAAAAGTATTTTCATTAGAACAGGAATCCACTGTCCTTSCCAGCCTCGACGGTGACCTAGTAGAAGAATGTAGTATTTTCTTTCTGGGCGTGACTTTCTCGCCTTTAGCAGAAATATTATCGCTTGGTAGAGGAATCGCTAGCCTTGTAAACCCTGTTTTTCTTATTCTTGGGGATGATCGAGTTGGGGATCGAGACGCCCTCTTTTTGGGCGTGGTCTTGCTTTGRTTATCAGAAACGTTTTCATTGGATGGTGCACAGTCCAGTTGTCGATCCTCCTTTTTTCTTAATCTCGGAGAGGACCGTGTAGGAGAGTTCAATATCGTCTTCTTTGGTGTAAGAACCTTGCTGTCTGTAGCACTGTCTCTCGGTGCTAAGCATTCCATTCTAGCTTCCTCCATTCTCTTTAATCTCGGAGAGGACCGTGTAGGAGAATTCAATATCGTCTTCTCCGGTGTGAGAACCTTGTCTGCAGCATTTTTTCTCGGTGCAAAGTATTCGATTCTAGCATCCTCCATTTTCTTTAATCTCGGAGATGACCGTGTTGGTGTGACAACCCTGCAACGATTCTCTGGAGCACTTTCACTTGATGCCGAGCGCTCGAGWCGWACAGAATTGGAAAACCCAATGCATGAAAACGATCGTTTTTTAAGTAATCTCGGCGATGATCTCACTTCAGCATCTTTCTTTGGAGTCAATACTTTAGACGTCWTAGAGTTAGGGATTTCAGTTGATGCCAACAATGTGTGAAGAGARAAACGACTCCTTCTACGTGGTGAAACGCGAACAGGGGAGTCCTTGACGCTGGTTAAAGACGGAGCAGTGTTGTCTTGGGTAGAATGCTCTTCGATAATTGATGCTTGTTCGTCTAAGTCAAGTTTCTTTATTGGTGAATGGGATTGGATGGCAGAGCTGCACGATTTCGTACGAACCAATGGGCATGACTTTCCACCGTAAAACGACTTGCTTCTTTGGAAAATGGAACCAGGATGTCTACGCGGGCTTCGACGGGGAAGATTTTCACCTAAAAGACAATAAATGGAACTTTTCAGTCTTCCTGTTGTTATTATCACTGATGGTATATGTGCAGTTATTATCACTGTGATGGTACAAGCCTTGTCTGACAAAGCATTGAGCACTGCATTGTGGTCTACCATCATCTTTCATTCATGCGGCCAAATATGGTGTTGTACTGAAGTAAAACCACAATGCGTCATTATTTTGCTCTTCAGAAATGATCAGTGTACTTGTATGAGACAAAATGACGACTGAATGCAATACAAATCATCATCATTATCACAACGATGTCATCAACCTATGGTCGTATCATTACCTTCTATTATTTCTTTTAACGGAGATTCCTGGACTACATTCAATTCCTCGGTTACTGTACTTGCTCGTTTCCTGTACCATGAAAATCTCATTAATAACATTATAAATCAATCTAAAAATATATAATTTAATAATTATAAGGATTAATAGGAATTTATAAGTTATTTTCTCATATAGATGGTCGCTTTATCGAAGTTAATCGCTTTAAAGAGGTTCATCAGGACGACCACTTACCGGGCTCGGTGTTGTTTCTGCCACAATGCATTGTTTAGTTGTTTACGACATGGTGTTTCCTGCACCACCTTAGGTACATGCACAGCCACAGAATGCCGCCGTTTGATTGGYTTTTGTTTCTTTTCRTCTTTACCAAATATGGAAGGTGCCTTTAGCTTGACCTTTTTTGTTAAATCACTTTGCGCTTCTTCATTGCCGTCCTCTGTGAATAAATTTCTACGGACTTTTTTCACTGGAGTTTTTTGGACCTTAGGTTTGGCAGGAAAGTTTCTGCAAAAACGAAAAAAAAAAAATAATAATTATACGCCATTTAGTAATTGCTGTGCATTATTCATCTAACACAGCACTAATGGTGGGAACTAGCGGTAAACTAGTGTGAGCTGCGTCGGTGTTTCTAAAGAAACAGTTGTGTAAAAAGATAAATTTAACACCGTAAAAAAGTAGGTGAAATAACTTACTGACGTTTCGGACGTTAATCTTTCGTCGGAGTAAAGAGAAAGGATTAAACGTCCGAAACGTCAGTAAGTTATTTCAGCTACTTTTTTACGGTGTTAAATTTATCTTTTTACACAACTAATATGCACTAGTCTACCTCGTCATTTGTGTTGAAGACGGGCCTTTTTTATGTGTCTTTTTAGCTTTAGCTTTCCCAGGTATGACGATTTCTCGTCTTTTCCCACCGATGTCCGCAATGCTACGATGTCTTGTTAATGGACGTGTCCCTTCACTCCTGAATGGAGAGGATGTAATATTCTTACTCAGTATAATGTATTCATGCAACGGTTGAATGAATGGATATGCAGCGATGAATGGATGGTCAATTGGATGGATGGAAGGATGGATAAGTGAATGAAAGAATGGAAGTCTAAAAGGATGAATGAGCGATATTTCATCATACCTTGGTTGATCAGATTCAGGTCTGACGACTGAGACCAGACAGCGTTTCAAGGGGGATTCATCCTCCTCTTGCTTGGAAGGAGACAAAAGTTCAGGTGGAAGGTTCAACATCAACCCCTCGTATATCTCGCATAGAAATTTGGGGATTTTATCGACGTATCTGAAATAAGAAAACCAAYTTTAACTTAGTAGGCACCTTTTCCTCGTTAACTTTAGAACACTCATTATATCATAAACTATAAGGAAGCAAAGGCTACGAAACTGATACTGTATACCACACTTGATTAAAGGACACAATTCAAGGAAAGTTCAAATGGCGATCTTTTTAATTATGGAATCATACATAGTTGTGTAATTTTGTTCAAAAATCGCACACTAAAAAGACACTAAAAAGGCTGATGAAGTGTCTTAACGATTTTCTTGGAAATCGGACTAAAAGTAAAACTAAAGTTTGCGCCACTTTAGGATACTCTTTCTATCATTTAATCAACCATTAGAACAATACTGTAAGTGTACCAAGATTCTTCTACCTTACAATGATGACTTCACGAAGTAAATCCCTCAAATATCCTGGGTCTTTGATAAATGATATGGACCTTAACATCACAACAACCTAGAGGATAGATCAATATAAGTTTCTATAAAATGCTAACGTTTTATTCAACAAAACAAAGACATCTTTGTTAATGAGATCCTCCCCCAGGATTTAGCCTC